ATGCAGAATCGAGTTTCTGACATCAATAGAATCAAATTTCTGACATATGTGGAACAAAGATATGTTCTTGTTCCGAATCGTGATTCTAATATATTTGGAATCAAGTTTTTGAAGTATATGGATCAGAGATCCATGCCAGTTTGATATCAAGATTTACAATAATATAGACTTTGGGATACGTTTGACGACCCCTATCAGGAAATGAGATTTCATTTTTATGGCGAAGGAAGCCACAAGCACATCTTCAGCCTCGTCAACTTTAGAACCTCTATTGGATGTCTCTTATTAGATGGTTTCCCCAATTTCAAAATGATTATGTTGACTATTGAACTTACAGTCATTATATACAAAAGACAAGTATTTCTGAATTGTTATTTTGACTTCATTATTATGAAGACAAAATGGGATTATGTCTACGCCATGGTTTTACTTTTAATTGTATGTGTTGTATTTACCAATTATATTTTAAATTTAACGAAAAGGCCATCCAGGGTAGCACAAGTAAAATAATGAAACCCTGCAACCACTAGAAGCATTCGAAGGAAGATTTCAACTCCAATTGATGTGGAATCAACATTTAATCCTTGCTGGATTCCAGATTCGATATATTGAGGAACGTCTACCCACAATTAATATATTCAACTTTTTAAAGATGTGTTGGGTTGAGATTCCGAAATTAAGGAATCGAGTTTCTTTGGTTCCGATAAATGGTTTCGAGAAATGTGTTGAATTGAGATTCCGAAATTAAAGAATAGACTTTCTTTGGTTCTAAAAAATGGTTTCTAAAGATGTGTGGAATCGACATCCTGAAGTTAAGGAATCGAGTTTCCTTGGTTACGAAAAATGGTTTTCCTGGAGATTCATTAACAGAAATGCGAAATCAGATTTTGGAACCGGAAACGTGAGATCGGTGGAGAGATTCTGGTAACTATGGACTTACCCCTTGCCCTTTTTTGAGACTTCCACCTGAACTAACTCGCACCTCCTAACACGTACTATATTGGGTTTGTGCTGCACATGGTTAAGCCACCTAAGTCTACTTTCTCTCATCTTTCGTCTATTGCAGCCACATCTAAGTTCTTCCGAATGTATTCATTTCGAATTCTATCCCTTGTTGTCTTGCCACTCATCCATTTCAACATCCTCATCTCTACTACATTAATTTTATGGGTATGTTGTTTTTTTTATCCCCCAACATTCCACCCCATAAAGCAAAGTTGATCTCTCAGTTGTCTTATAGAACTTGCCCTTTAGTTTCATTATTATGCAGCGATCACATAAAAACTCTGGTTGCACATCTCCATTTCGCTCACCTAGCTCTAATTTAATGTGTGACATCTTGAATTATCGACCCAAGATATCAAAAATGTGCTCTTTTTGGTATTTCTTGGCCGTCAATCATAACCACTTCTTCGTATCTACTCCTATTATATCTAAACTTGCATTCCATATACTCTGTCTTAGTCTGGCCAATGTAAAATATTCTAGAGCATTCCTCCACAGGTTTAACTTTTTGTTGACACCGCATTTGGTCGCATCTATTAAAACTATTTCGTCCACAAACAACATACACCATGTTACCTCATCTTGTAGATGCCTAGTTAAGTTGGTCATAACTAATACAGGTATAGGCTCAACGTTGACCCCTGATGTAGACCTATTGTCACTGAAAACTCACCCGTCTCTCCACTAGTTGTTCTCATGCAGCCTCAGACATCTCTAGGCATATTTTGTGAAGAAATGTACCTTATCACTTGTTGATTGAAGAGAAATAGAAGCAATGACAATGTTACCCTATCTCTTTTTTTATCATGAATATTGGCTAATTTGTTGCTAACCTTCAGTAATATTGAAAAAGGCATCTAATGACAGATGGAATCGGAAAGGGAAGCTAAATGTACGCCATTGCATCAGGATGCATATTGGGTTATTTATTTGGAAGTTTGGATGTGACCAGACAGTAGATGACAGATTTTTCTTCTATGGTAACATGCTGAATCCTTGTTGGCAATTTTTGGTATTTCTTGGACTTATCCTCGTTTATGAAATTTGTTGTGCCTCCTATAATTCTAGTTTCTTTTATGAATCTCTGCTTCGAGGATGGGGCTCGGTGAAGCATACAGCAATTTGGAGCTTCTGTTTCCAAAATTTGTCCTTCAATTCTATGGAATAACAGTCTTGTCCAATGTTATAAAATCGATCATATTGCTTGCCTAATAAAGATAAATAATTAGCTTTTGGCATCTTGGCATAAGGGTTAGATTTAAGGTTGTAGTAATAATTTTCAAAGTCATAGTCCCAGCTGACCCATCCAGAAAATATTTACATAAAATTATTTAGTTGCCAACTCTGTGGTTGTGACTTACATCATAGATCACCATTTTAGTGAAAGGAAAACTTATGTTCTACCAATGCTACTTTACAATTCTGGAGACTGATTTGGAAAGGGTTTCTTTCCCTTCAGGCCTATTGGATCCCAGTTACGGCCATTTGGTAATTGCTTGTGAAGTTAGCTTGGTCCTTTTTTTTTTTTGGTTTTTGATGGGTAGCCATCGGCCTCAAAGCATTCAACTTTATTTGTAATAAACCACTAGGCTATGGAGATTCACCTGAAAAACGAATCAGTAGCATATTACCAAGATTATATCCATAAGATATTATAGTATATTACTGATGTTATGTGTGTGCACGAATGCACATATTGATGTTTTTTAATGTTCCAAGTCTAAAAGTCAGTCCCCTCTCATCTCTATATAACGCCAAAACATTCTAGTTGCCAACTTGGAAATGTTCAGGTGGGTTTTCAATTTTTAAAGAAAAATTTTAAAAAACAAAAACCAATTATGGGATTTGATCACAATTCTTCGCAAGATATACTGCTACATAACACTTTACTGGAAAGAGCTATTTTGTAGTTAGTTTTTCATGGAGAAATATGTAAAGGAAAAGGCTAATCACTTTTAAGTTTTCCGCATAAAAATTGCCCATTTGACAGGTCAAGTTGATTTGAGCATCATGCAAAAATTGTGACCAGTTTTTGACACTGGTATGCTTCTCTGTTGAGATATCTCACGTAAAAGCATCTCAGGTTGAAATTTATGTCATCCTAAAATGTCATTGTCTGTTACATTTTACCAACAAACCATTTCCTATTTTTCTTTGGGTAGGTTAAAACCCTTGAACTCTAGAAATGAAATTTGTAACCTAAACCGTACTTGTTTAAAAGCATGCTTGTATGGTATTGCATGTTTTTGTTTGCAGATTACAAATGACTCCAGGATAGGTGGTCTATATGTTCTCTTGGGGAAAAGTTTAAATATAGAAAATGCTTACCTGAATTTGCAGCCTGGTTGAACTCTCTGCTTGGAAATTCAAACAAATCATTGCCGAGTTTCTCCCATTCCCAATTTGAGGACGTGGCTCATTAGCTGAACAGGGCCATGGTCTGACCTGATGAAATCGTCTTGAAACCACCCTGTCTGGCCTGGTTTTATAATTGGTCGCAAGCGTGAATCGCATACTGAAGCTGGCACTGTGTATAGCAATCCAGTTATCGTGATTACCCTGCAATTTATTAAGTAATTGGTTTCAGTGGATTCTTGAGTTCTTCTAAGATCTAGATATTGTTCTTAAGTTAGCTGATGACAGAGGCATGCTGATTCAAATAAAGAGAATTTATAATTGATACATGTAATAATACCTTGGTAGCATGTTCCTTGTAAGTTCTAGAAATTGGAGTTGGGCCATTTTGCATCTCAATACTAAATTGCTAGAGACTAGAATTATGAAAATGGAGAGAAGATTGGGATGTTTAATAAAGTGCATTCTGCTTTAGGTGGATCTTATCGCCAATCCTTTTAGTTGGAAGCTGAACCTTCTTTGAGAACTTTAAGTATGAAGTTGAGGAACCTTATGACATAACTGCATGGTAGGAATCTTCCAAAAGTTTATTACAATGATCTGGCAGCATCCATGGTATAGGCTATCTTGTCAATCGATCATGAGCTTAGGTGGATGCTCGTTTTGGGGATCAATAAGTTTAAGTTGATGGTGTCTAATTGGTGAAACGTAGAAATATAACAGTAATAAATGTGCTGTGTCATGTTTCTATAGCTTTCTGAATAGTATAAAGGCCTCATAGACATGCTAGTTTTCTGCATGCATATGGGTCTTTTGACATTTGTTCAAACTTCAAGACTTGTGTGCTATCTTCTGATAGTTTGGTACTAGATATTTAATCGGTCAGGAACTAAAGCATAGCATGTGGTTGACCCGAATAACTTTTCTCCGGCACGGCATTGTACTTGATCCTTTCCAGAGGTACTTTGCCATGAATTGCTCAGACTCTGACTGGATATGGCTTGACCCATTGAGTTCACCATCCTGGTGGGCGATTTGTCAATAATCTTTATTACTTAGTTGAGAAATCACTCTTGCATATGTGCTTCTCACTTACAAATTTGGAAATTTACTGTCGCAGCAAAATTGAAAGCTGTGAAGCTTAATTTTTGTATAAGTTCATGAGATTTATTTTGAAGCAGTAAATCTTTATGTCAAAAGGGTAAATATGTTTATCTCCTAATTGTGATTTTATATCACATTGAAGCTCGAAGGAGTTCATTGTATTTTGCTTAGGCAATAGTTACATGGAGAATTCAGCAGCTCTCTTTTTGCCAATGATTTATATATGAGACTTTATTAGCTTCTGGAATTAAATTTGCTCTTGTCCTTTCTTTAAGTTGAAATGGAATAACAGTGCTGACCATTTATTTTTTCCCTTGGTGCACGTCACACATCCACTGCCATCTCAGGTTCATTTCACATGAATGCAGATGCCTTAATATAGATCCTTGGATTAGTTTTCAAGGTGTCTGTTGAAATTTTCTGTTCATTCTACTGTTTTCCTTGTTTTTATAGTGCTTTTGTGGTTCTTATTCATGAGCATTCATGTTTTTCTTGTTTGCTCTTGATATAGTATTTCCTTCTGTTGGTGACAACAGGTTATCAAAGATCGAAGATGGAAAGAAATAACTGCCTTGTTCAACTACCCTTCTACCGCTACTAATGCATCATTTGTCTTGCGCAAATACTACGTCTCTTTGCTTTACCATTATGAGCAGATTTATTTCTTCCGAAGTCGTGGGTGCGATTCACCTTTCGGTGGTTAGTATCAAGGATAACCCTTCAATCTCTTCTTCTTCTTCTTATTCTTCATTGTCTTTTGGGTTTTCACTCTATTATCATATGTTTTGTCATTAAATGCTAGCTTCTTTGCTTACTTTGCCTCCACTTCTTGTTTCAGCCCAAGGGCTCTCTCAAACCATGGTTCCATCTCCAGATGTTCAGGCACATCTAGGGAAACAAAAGATGAACACCTTTGAAACACAATTAGAAGCACACCAGGCACCACCACAGAGACGGAAAGCCCCATCTGAGATACATTTAGCTGGTATGTCCTCTATATTTCTCTTGCTAAACATTCTTTTACCCTACCCATTCATATGTTTGACCTCCTATATCTCTCTCTAAAGTCAATGAACTAGTCCTTTTCCGGCATTGTTTTCGCATCAGAAATCCAATATGTAACACATTTGGTTAGCAGCTTTTCCTCAGGATCATCCAGTTAATGGAGTAATCGATGGAAAATTTGAGCATGGCTACTTGGTCACTGTGACAATTGGATCTGAGAAGTTGAAAGGTGTCCTCTATCACACGCCTGCTGAAGTGAAGCAAGCCGGTGGCAATGGCAATGTGGGCACGGTATCAGGAATCGGGAGGAGGAGAAGGAGGAAGAAAAGTGAGATGAGAAAGAGGGACCCTCTGCATCCGAAACCCAATAGGAGTGGGTACAACTTCTTCTTTGCAGAGCAGCATGCAAGGCTCAAGCCCCTAAATCCAGGCAAGGATAGAGAGATCAGTAAGAAGATTGGGGAGCTATGGAACAATTTAACGGAGGAAGAGAAAGCGGTAAGAGAAACTAAAATACCCAACCAATGAAACCTTTCTCTCTTAAACTTTATTATTATTATTATAATTATTATAATAATTATTATTATTGTTAATATTATCAGTATTATTATTATTATCATATTATTATTATTTTTGGCCTCTTGATTTGGTGTTTAGGAACTTTGGCTGTAAGTTAAACACTAAGAAATTGGTTTGATCTCTGGCTCTGCCCCCATGGAAGGACAAAAAGATCGATTTCTTTCTGATTATAGTTGACATTTCTAATAAAGAAAAGAAAAAGAATGAAACACATAATGGATCTTTACCTTTCAGTTAACTGCCAAATGTATTATATTTTTCTTTTGGTTTATATGCATGCAGGTGTATCAGGAGAGAGGGGTGAAGGATAAAGAAAGGTACAGGAGTGAGATGGTGGAGTACAGGGAGAGACTCAAATCTGGAAATTCAGTAATTGGTAGCAGTTCTATTGCTGCTTATCAAACATTCTTGGCACCAGTTATTGAGCTGGGAGCATCGCAAACAACAATGGGCATTGATTACCCTCCCACTCTGAGGAATTTCTTAGGCCCCGAAAAAAATGGTGAGAATTCAAAGCCCAAGCCTGCAGATGAGAGTATTGAACATGACCAAATTCAAGAAGAGGCAAGTGCGATATCAGTCGATGACAATGCATCAAAGGAGAGTAAGGTTGTGGTTTCAAGCTCCGAAGAGGTTAAGGAGGGATAAAATTTACAGGTCGAGGATAATTCAACAACCAAATTTGGCCAATATAACTTCATTATGGGCAGTTTCTTCTAGGATAGGCTGCTGACTTTTTGCTGACTTCTCACCCTTGCTAGTCCCTAGGTGATTCATACTTTTCATTTCTCATTCCTCACTTTCTTTTTCTCCAGTTTCCCTTTCTTGTACAGTGACCTACAGTTGCACCAGATAATTTTACAGGAGATGCTGTTTTTTGTGCAATGAGATGAAGCATGATTCTTAGGTGATCAAGTTCTCACTGTTTACTGCTAACTAACGGTCTTTTTTTCTTCCTTTTCTTTGGTGAACTTTGATGTACATCCAGTGCCATCTGGATTCAATTGTAGAGGGCTACAAGATTTTAATCCGTTAGATTTGTCTTTTTGAGTGGGAGCTCAACAACGATGTAACTCTTGAAGGCACTAAGAATTTTGAAACAAAAGAATGTAATGCAGGGGCCAGAATGAGTGGCACCGTATGAAGTTTTAGACTGATCATGCAGGTGCCCTTAGGGGAAGGGGTAAGTCTGTGTTTTTGAAGCAAGCATATTTTATGACTGTTGAGAGAGAGAGGGAGAGAGAGAGAGAGTGAGAGAGAATTTCTTTTGGTGAAACATTAAAGTGCATAATTTATTGCAGATATATATAAGTTAGAAATGTCAGTTAGCTGACCTATCAACAGAGGACTGTTAGTTTTTCTGTCGTAGGCCTGTGCTATAAGGTTCTCAAACCAGAAATTCTGGAGATACAAAGGATCCTTAATGGTAATGGAGAAATGGTCCCTGCAGAAAATTTTGTCGTGGTTCAAGCTCATTTAGCACTGGGCTTGAATTAAAGGATTTCCATTACATGCATGGACGAAGGAAGTCTTTAAAGCAGATGGCATAACAGATTAGGGAATTAGGCGAAATTGACTGGAGCACCTTGGCAGGTATATTCTTGGAATGTCTGAGAACAAAAGTAAATGTCTCAGTGTGAAAGTAAGACAATAATTCGATGAAGAGCTCCCTTGCAACCTCATCCTTAAGGTTGGCAGTTTCTACTGGAGGTTAATATGTAAGAGAATCTTCCCTGAACCTTTAAGGAAGTAGTGGGAGAGGAGAAAGACAGATTCCATATAAAGGTGCATAAAAACAGTTTATAGGAGGAAAAACAGATCTCTGGTCAGGTGTGTCAACTTGGCAAAGGTGGGGGACACTGACAAAGTGGGTAGAATGGAAGAATTACGAACAACACCATTGAGAAGGTTCTTGCGGGGAAGCCGTAGAGACAGGTTTAGTGGCCTTATCACAAACAGCTGGAAAATTCAAATTTCACAGCATCAAAAACCAAATTTACCTGCATTTAGCAGCCCTAGCACAGTTCTATGGCGGTGTCTATTTTCCAATCGGCAGGTGGCTGCATGAGTGCCTTGGGTTCTTCTCAAGCTGCCACAAACGGAGTAGCCTTGGGTATGAATCTCTCACCCTCCCTTAAAAGACCAATTTTCTCTTTCTTGGCCTGGTGAAGTCTTTGGATCATTGGATGATGATTTGCTTCTTACATTCAGCCAAGTAATTGATGTCCAATTTGGCAATTAAGGAGGTGTCTAATATGCTGGGAGTCCCTCTAAATCGAGCCCTATGCAAGAAACTTAACCCATTCCTACCAATGCAATCCTGTCTTAAACTTTGTGCGAGCTTCCTTCCTCTGCTCTTAGGCATGAGGAAAACACTCTCTAACATCCTCCTACGTAGAAACCTGGCTGCCAAAACCGGACTCCATGCCATATCTGAATCCGGTCTTCAGGAAAAGACCAAAGAAACATGAATTCATTATAGGTATTCCTGATGTGTTAGAGGAGGAAGATGCATTGGAAATCCTTCCTGACCAATAATCTGGGGCACGGTAAGGGTTTAAATGACAAAGTGGGTGGAAGCAGATTGTCTACTAGAATTGAAAATAGAAATTCAGGACATGTTCGTGTTGGCCTGTTTTATAGCCAATGCTGATGAAATCCACATGATGGTGGTGATACTTAAAAGAGTCTGGTTTGGTGAATCCATGCAGACAGGTGTGGAGAGAGAAGAGAAAGATCTGAGGGACAAGGAAGAGAAACAAGTGGAGGAAGTTAAGGCATACATTCTAAATCTGTTGGTTGTGTTGGGAGTTAGTTATGAGGAGACAATGCAAACTATCATGGAAGCGTTTAGGCTGAGGCCTCATCCAAGACGAAGTTGCTAAGAGAGGCGAAGGTTTAAGGGCTAAGTCCCCCTTCCCCGCTCAACAGGATCTTCTGTTTTTTTGTTTTTTTTTTTTTAAGGGGTGGGAGGTGTTGGTTTTGAGGGCCTGCTCAAATTTTGAGCTTAATGAAGATTCTATTTTGGAACATTTAGGGCTTAGGCAATGATAATTGATAGTAGAATTAAATTCCTGGCAAAACTAGTTAGGAGAGAAGCCACACATCATCCTCTTTTAAGAACAACGTTGCAATCCCTCAATGACAAGACTGTTAAATCTTTATGGCTTAGGATGCCTGTTGAATTTCTTGTTAGATTTGAACCTATTGCAAATGCTCAACCATAGTTACCAAAATCTCTAATTGAAGGTTGTGGTTCCTATTTGAAACCCCAGTTCGGGAACCTGTTTTCGTAAAATCTAAATCTCAATTCGTTATTTTAGGATTCTCGACTCTAACATTTATATAATATCATTTCCAGTATTTATTGATTTTTTATTCTACACTTGTTGAAATTGGTTTCACATTTATTCAAATTCTACCACTTTTTTTTTTTGTTTTTTTGTTTTTTTTAGAAGTGAGGTTTAGAAGTTTTCAAAGCATCAAACTACTCGAGCTAGGCACACTATCTCAAGGTACAAGGTGTAGTAATCTTTTTTGGCATGAAATAACTAATAGAAACCGAAGTGGCAATCCACATTCTCTACGTAATTCTTAAAATATGCATTGTATTGATCACATGGAGAGATTGCAACTCTAAGATGTTAGAAATAATGTAATATAAATAATGCTACTGTTCATGCATGACATGTTGGTCAATGCATGGCTTTGATAAATGTATTGTATTCCTTTTAGTTTCCTCTTGATTGTAGAGATGCCGGAATCTGGATTTTATAAATGAAGGAATCTTAATTTTATATTCATCAATTCCAACTAGCTCGGAAACTTGATTCTAAAGAGCTAGGAATCTCGATTCCGTAAGTATTTTGATTTTATTTTGGTCGAATCTTGATTCTTAAAAATAGGAATCCTGTCCCTCACAATTCTTTTTGTACCAACATCAATTTCGAAAAACAGAAATCTTACAATTGGCGGTGATTCCATGCTTTCAATTCCTAAATCGATTCGGTTTCCAAATCGCTTCGGTTAACCATGTGCTCAACAGTGTATTGCTTTCCCATCAAAGGTGGACGAATGTGTATGGGGGTTAAACTCAGGAGTGTTATCTGTTAAATCCCTTTGTCATGTTACTGCAATGGATAGACCAGTGCAAATTGAACTGGCAACAGATAGAGCCTGGAGTCTACCGGTCCCTCATAGAACTCAGGAGTCTACCAGTCCCCCCTAGAATGAGGAACTGAAGATTCTACCAGTCCCTCTTAGAACTCAAGCCTTTGCCGGGATCATCATTGGGAACAGAGCCCCCACATAGACTTTCTTAGGTGAAGGGGGATGATTCTCATGATTATCGGTTCAGCGGGGCGTCATCTTGCCACCTAAAGCAGCTAGTCCAACAATGGAGCAACCCCTGAATAGGAAAAGAGAAGAACAATAGGACGTCTGAAAGTATGGAAGAACTTGTTTGCCTCAACAGGCAAGCTCAGACTCTTATATGGGCAATGGCTAAGAAAATAGTTCTTTGGGTGTCCCAAGGAAGATTTGATGGACAACTTAAAGCAAGAAGTCATTCTAAACACCAGAAAACAGACTTTCTCTTCTCCATTCTCTAATGCAGGACCAAAAATCCACTATTTTTCACCCTATTATAATACAAATAATAAATATTATAGTTTGAAATAATATTTTCTGAAATAATACCTATTGAATTTGAAAATAAAAATACTAATAATAGGCTCTATGTAAAGGCTGGAAAATAATAAGATAGCCATTACATAATGCAGAACATAGTCATCAAGACTGGACCAACTTAAGGCTGGCATTGGGGAGGTTTGCCCGGCCCAGCCCTATTGGTAGTGCTCTATAAAACTGGGGCCTAGGCCACAAAATGTGGCCCTAGGATTGGGCCGTGACATGGCTCACCTAGCCGGCTTGAACAGGCTTAGGGTTGGGCCAGGGCTAGGGCCTCCTCTGCTCGTTTTGATTTGGGCCATGGTCGATCCTACATGGACTAGGGCCAAGCTAGGGATAGGGCTAAGGCTGGCCCAGCCGATTGCTATCCGGAGACAAAAATCACCCAATCCGATTGCCAACTAGTACTTTAGCCAGTCCACTCCTATGTAAAAGCAAGTTTAGTAAGAAAAACCCGTCAAAATCAATGTTTGATTGATTTTGGCGAGTTCTGATGAGCCTGTTTTGACTATTAGACTATTCAAATAAAGTTAGTCATTTTTAAATATATTTTATATTTTTAAACTATTGTTTCTTGATTTTATTTACTTTTTAAATTTTGGTCCAATCGGCTTGATCAAATATTATACTAATTTTGACTAAATCGGGTCCCTCACTAATTTAGTGACTGGTCAAATCCTAAAACACTTAATTTGGAATACAAACAACCTCCAATAAGGTTGTGGCTATGGCTTACAATGTCCAATTAAGGAGATAAGAATGTGCCCTGATCTCACTATCTACCAGGGGTTCTTCAACAGGTAAGGTTGCTCACAAGTTTTAGAATGCAAATGACATGGATGTGTTAGTGAGCTTGGTAACAGAGAAAGAAGATCACTATGTTTAGGTGCCATGTCTTCTTTGAAGATTAATCAGGATAACAAACAAGAACGATACAAAGGATGCTAGTTTTTGGAGAGCGACAATAGATATCCTTTGTGAGTACATTATTCCACATTGACAATTGTGGTTTGATTTTCTCATATCAACTCAACAATTTTTAAAAGATTTAATTACAAAACTTGACGACTTGAAAAAGTATATCTGATTTGTTAAGTCTAAATTTGCTTTTAATTATAAAATATTGCTACTTTGCTTTGCATGTTATCTTTTTTGTAATGATGTTTGGTTTGCATGAAATATGTTGCTGATGTAAAACTATTTACGCACTCAAACAATTGGG